CTACTCCAAGGACTTCTACTACTTCTTGTAGTGCTGCTGCTGCTGCTACTACTGCTGCTGCTACTACTATTGCTACTACCACTACTAACACCACCACCACTACTACTACTACACTACTACTACTAGTACAAGTACTACTACACCACTATCACTACCACTTATACAGTGTGCCGGGCATTTAGAGCAATTATTTCAGCAAGATTGCCAAGCAATTTGCAATGTCGGTCTCGCCGACTAGTTTACCTTTTAGACCAAGATTGCAAGGGGGGAGCAAGATTGTCAAAAAATCTTGCAATCTTGGTCTCCAAAAGGTAAACTGGTCGGCGAGCAAGTGGGACAAGTGGGACAAGGGGGGAGAGCAAGATTGCCAGCAATCTTGCAATCTTGGTCTCCAAAAGGTAAATTAGTCGGCGGGCAAGTGAGGCAAGATGACTAAGATTGCTTGGCAATCTTGCTCCCGCGGCTGACCAAGATTGCCAAGAGTTCCAAGATGGCTCCATCAATTACTTGCCATAAAATTCCGGCACAATGCGTCGGTACACTACTACTACTACTACTACTACTACTACTACGACTACCACCACTGCCACCACTGCCACCACTACCACCTACTACTACTTACTACTACTTACTACTTCTTACTGCTACTTACTACTACTTACTACTGCTTACTGCTACCTACTACTACTTACTACTACTTTGTACTACTTCGTATTACTTACTACTACTTAGTACTACTTAGTACTACTTCGTACTACTTAGTACTACTTCGTACTACTTAGTACTACCACTGCTGCTACTACTACTACTACTACTACTACTACTATTACCACTACCACTACCACTACCACCACCACCACCACCACTACCATTACGACGACTACAACTACTCCTACTTACTGCTTTTGCTACTGCTCCTTCGACAACTATTATCACCTCTACCACCTCCAACTCATTACTGTTCTCTGTTACCCCCTGTGTCTACGAACAACTACTTACTTCTACTGCTGCTTCTGATGCTCATGGACTGCAGCAAGAAATTAGATCAGAGTTGACCCGCTTTCATTGAATCCGAAGCACGACTGAGCGAATTCCAACTTTAATAAAACTAATTGAGCTTGGGATGCCATGTATGCCCTCTATCATGGGCACCCGAATCACCACTCAAACACAAGTCACCACTTGCTAAACCTTTCTCAAACTTCGTGTGACAACCATTCCGCCAAGGTGCGTGTATCTCGAGCTCCAGGGCTTTAAGCCAGGCCTCCACGCCCGGCTCCTGAGTTCGACCATGGAATTCGGTGTGGGTTGGAAGCAAAAACTCGAGGCTGGAGATCAGCGAAACAATGCTTCCAGCTGGAGGCCAGGATTCATTAGAGAATAGTTGAGGTGTGCTACATGACGAACATACCAGGTTGAGATGTGCTACATGACGAACATACCAGAGGATTGCACAACCGAGTGATTTGGTCAAAAATGCCAATTCAGACTGAAATGATCGTGTGACACGTGGGTTTGTGGTGGAGGAGTGCACACAATTGTATGATGTTGACATCATGAAAGCCCGTTGAAGGTGCGCGGAGCCTCGGAAGGCCGTGCTGGACTGTGTATACCATACTATACCATGATGCAACCTTCCGACAGAAAACCACAAAGCCAGTCCCGCGCCTGAAGGGCTGCTTCTAGCTCCTCGTAAGAGAGGCGCCCGTCGCCCGAAGCGTCGGCCTCGTTTGGCTGCCGTGGTCTCGCTTCGGCCGACTTCGCAAGTAGTTTGGTGGCTTTCGATGCAGCTTGGCCGTTGGTCGAAGCTCAGTTGGACTTCGCGGTCTACTTGCTGGGGCAACAGATTTGAGAGAGCAGGTTTACTGCTGTGAAGCTGGGATCTTGAATGGCATGAAGGGTGAAGCCCAGTCTCCACTCTTAGCATGGAGCGGAGCCGCAGCAGCTGGCTCATGGATCCAACATCTACGAAGCGTTGTGTTTTTCAGTCAGTGCAATGCCCTCTTTTGGGGACTGCATGCCAAGCGGCAGCTGTGAAGAATTGGTAGACCTTTGCAGGCTGATGATTGCCGGTTCGCAGTGTTCTTAATCTTTGAGCGCGTGCGTGTGTGCGTCTCTGAGGAGCACTTCGGCCAGTACTTCCAAAGAGGGGTCTGTCGGCGTCCCAGCTGGCCTTCTGGCTGAATGCCTCCTTCTCCTTCATCTTCCGCAGCACCTCCAGCGACAGAACCACTTCTGAGAGCAACTACAGTTGTGGCGCTAAGGCCGGAAGGAATTCCATCTTTCCAACATGGTCCCGGCCTCTGCCTCACCGTCTGAGTTAGCAGCACGGATCCTTGGAGCATTGCGAAGGGCTGGTGTCGGTAGACGAACAGCAAACAGAAAAAAAAACAAATCTGGCAGCACTTAGGACAGAGCTGAGATGAGAATGAAACTAATGACTCCCCCCACTTTTGGCTGCGATTCGATGCGACGCTGTATTCCACCAGAATTTCACTTTCACCCTTTGCACTATGACCGGCCTGTACCGGCACCTGGCGCGTGGAGGACAAAGACCCACAACACGGCAACACTGACAAAGCTCCCACAAAAGGCAACGCTTTCAGAAGAGGAAACCTTCGAGGTCCGAGGTGCGTTTCGTTCAGGAACAAGGCGCCGATGACACGCATCACCGCGAAACCGATGACCTCAAGGCAATAGCAAAACTCCCATCGAAAGTTTGCCACTTCGTACGGTAAAGCTGAGGTCTCACATTCGGCGCATTTCTTCAACGCACCGATCGGTTGGCTTCCAGCTCCAGACCGGCTCCAGACTGACAGAAAAGCACCGAGACTAGCGACTAGCTGCTGCAGTCTACCGAACATCATCAATAACACAAGGCACAGAGAAGCCAACGCCGGCCAATGCTTGGCTGACCTGCCCTGGACAGACTCCACCATCAGGGGTCCCCGGACATCGCCAATGCAAGGCGAGCAGCGACTTGATAAGCGATCCAGAAGAGGCAGAACCTGCATTGAGTGCAGGAGCTCACTCTGAATCACACGCCCATGCTCCCTTGTTCTTCGTGCAGCTAGCGACCTACATTCGGGCTGGCGAACTGCCTTTCAACAACAGGTCCTGCGTGCATAATATGTGAGCTTACTGTTTACGAGATCACTCGCAGGTGAGGATCCGAGCAATGGTCAAGAGGCGGTAGCTAAGTACCGCCTGTGGCTCGCCAGAGGGACAAGCCAGTGCTGTCCTCCCAATTACATTTTCCTCTGGTACCAATCGATACCGCCAGTTGCTAGCACCTCGTCATTGTATTCCAGCCTGACCCGCCCCCTATACCCCCGTAGTACTTCAAGCTCAGGGGCCACTCGCTGACCTCGTGGATCAAGGGCCGCGCTAGCAAAGGCCTCAAGGGCTTCGACTTACCAGGCCCTGGCTGCAAGAACCCCATAACCTAAACTTAGCTCTCACAGGCTATGATGTTTCAATCTTAATCTCGGTTCCAAGTGGCCAGGAGCCCGAGAAGGTCGCCTCAAAGACGGAGTACGTGGCTTTGATGGCGTTCCCGTAGTAATTCTGGGCACAGCGTGCAGCCAAGGGTATGCGTAAATCTTAAAGTTCAAAGTCGCTAGAACACCTGAGAAGCCTTGACCCTCAGCTTCCACAGCCCTCCAGGTGCGCCTTTGTGACAGTTGCGTGTGTTTGTCCCCGTCCGTGTGTGTGTGTGTGTGTCTCTGTCTCTCTGCGTGTGTGTGTGTGTGCGTGTGCGTGTGTTTTTCGTGTCAAGCTCAGGCTCCTTGAACAAGCTGGTATTGGCCCAAGATGCATAGACCCACCTGCGGTTTTCTTCATCGGCCGTGGTGTCCAGGACGTGCTCGACAAGCAGCTGTGACATCAAGACACCCGTGCCAACCATGATGATGCCCAGTACCTGAAGGATGCAAGCTAGGCAGTAGCTTCGGCAAAAACTCCCAGAGCGGCAGACCGTCACGGGCAAGCATGTGCACCGAGGTCGCGACCAGCAAAGCCCACATCAATGGGCTCAAGCATTTGGACTTAGCACACATGCCGACAGAAGCGACGTGCCCTTGTATCAAGTCTCATTAGTCAGGGAATGACAACTGTAGAGCTTTCACCCTCAGGAGGCGACCAGGACGTCTCCAAGCAGTCGGAGCCTCACATTATGGTGCATGTTGGTCGTCTCTATTCCAGAATTCTCTTCTGTTCTAGCAAAGGCTCACAGCAAGCATCAGCAAGCTTGGTTTGGTGTAGCTGCTAGCTGCTAACTCCGGTCTGATCCAGCGAGTTGAACATGGCACGACTATAGCAGGCTGGCAGCTGCTGCAGATTCTTGGCGAAGCGCATGACTCGAAGAACCCTGGCATAACAGCTCGAATCTGCTCTCTCACGTGCGTGGGCTGCGTGCGCTCCATCGTGCTTGAACGCTGATTGGGGTAAGCAATCATGTCAGGAGAAGCTGGTCAGAAAGGAAATACCCGACATAGATGACTACATGTGCTGATTTTAATATATGTGCATATAGATATACAGATATATAGATGCATATCTATTTCTTTATTTATCCTCGGACTGTTGCGTAAGGAATGGGTCGTGATGTCATGCATCGTACTAGTCACTTGTACGTATCGGCTCAGTACACGGTGCCGCGACAACAGCTTCCCTTCCTTTGGTGTCACATGATATAGATGTACAAGGCAGATTTTGCACACGTGAGCGGTTCCGCCGGCCTGAATATTCGCATCAGGCGGAAGATGCGAGTCAGTCGCCCAACGGCGAAATTTTGAGCATACCCGGCATCAAACGGCTGCCTCAGGCACTGCTTGGGCAGATGCAGGTGCAAAATCCAAAGTGTCAGTACTAGGAGAACCAAATCATGGGCATGCTCATGTGAAAAATGAATCAAGGGTGAAGCTCGCCGAATCAAACATCCCGGCAAGCCACAGCACGTAGACGTCGATGCTGGTGGCTACCACGACAAGCACGTCAAAGACGCCGAAGACATCGCAAAGGAATGAGAGCTTGTGCATGTACAAGCGCCATGCAATCTCCAGAACGAAGATCTTGGTAAATCAGGGATTACCGGTGTCAACTTGGAGTCACGCTTGCGAACGATTACAATGCATTGCAACACATTTTCAGAAATCATCTCCGATAAATCCTGAGAATGAAGAGGGAGCACTTTGCGAAATAAATCCACTCCAAGATGAGACCCAGCCACTGCATTGAAAACATGGTCCACTATGAAGAAGGCCATCTCCTTACTGCAAAGCAGGTCTGCAGACATCATGCAAAGCCCTTCTTAGATCTAGATACGACAGGAGGTTGGCTGGCAGAAGCGCAGGTCCTGCAACATAAACTGATCGAGCCGCCTTGTGGGCAGGCTAGCTGCTTCTCCCTGCAACTCCAGAGGTTCCAAGCTCGAGGTGCTCCGACAGGCTGAATGAAATCGAAGTCATCCAGATCATCCAGTACCCCATGATCCGAATTATTCAGAATTATAGGCACCCCCAACCGCCACAGAATTCCGGCACATTTTCCCAAAAACAGCAGCAGCAGACCTTCTAAACTCTAAACGAAAGCAGGCGCTGAGAGGAAACTGGAGCCGGGCAGCGGCGCCGGGCCAAGACGAGGCGTCCGGATCCTCGAGCCCAAGGATGACCGCCGCCTCTGCGCGCTTTCGGGTTTTGGGTGTTTCTTTTTTTTTTTTTT